CAGACAGTAACATACAACAATAATTCTAATATGGTCTACGTTCAAGGTATCAAATTAAGAAAATATCCACTTTAACATGGACCTCAAGTATCTTTCAATGATAAATTGACAGAATGCTCCATTGAACTACGTTCAGGGTATTAATGTAAATGAATTTCATCCAAGTCCGGGTCATGGGTGAGTATATTAGACCCAAGTACGCAGAGTATAACCTCAGTAATTAGGCGTGTTACCGGTCCTTAGAGGTGGCTGGGATTCAAATAAAACAGAATGGCAGAAAAGTCAAGACAAGCCAGAATCAAGAGACACCAGAATTCAGATAAATGGAAAGAAAACGCCAAGTCAGGGATACCAGAATACAGAATGGTCAAGTGGAGAGCCGGGCCAGTTACAATAATTTGAAGCAGTATAAACACACTATTGGGTCAAAGAGGAACCACAACGCGGCACTGTTCACTTGGAAAACTGCTGTTTCTATAGGATGGGGGCATTATTGCTGTAAACACACCTCTAAAATGGGAGAGGTAAATATGCCTTTATCTGTTGTCTGTGAAGTCATGATGCTGGCATGCATATGCTGTGTCATAAAACGGGATCTGTAAAAATGAAATTCCAGCGCACTCCCTTATCCATTAAACAGCAGCTTTGGTGCTGACAGATTTTGTTAGTTTTTTTAAAACACCTAATCTAGGCAAAAAATAATGGGGGTTTAGTTACATTATATGATCATACATTGCATAAGCCTGCCACAACATCAATGTACCCCATCTTTGGCAGGTCCTACTCTAACAACCTAATGTCTGCTAAATGAGCTACTGGACACAGTGGCCATAGATCTGGATCTGGACACAGTGGCCATTGTTGGCTAGTGAAGGCAGCAGGGACTGCACAAACAGCGGTCCACCGGATCAGGGTGCTACGTGATCGATGGACCAGCAAGATAGGAGAAAGACTCCTTACATTACCTCAGGAGCAAAACATACAGGCTGCCATCTTGGTCCACCCTAAAGTGCAACTTAAAGGATCACACTGTAATAATGACAAACATTGTTAATGGTTCTTAAATGGTAAACTTGAGGCCCTTTAATGACTTTTTTCTATAAATATAGACTTGTTAGTATTTATAGAAGTATACACATCAAATATAAAATATATTAAGTAGCCAACATAGCATGTGGACACAATTTACATGGAAATTACAGAGCTGTCCATATATGAGTTGTGTGGGTAAAGTAAAAATAGCTGTGGGAGGTGTGCACAGCTAACAGCTGTAGAGATTTAAAAGCCACTGTGGGCATGGAGGCCATGTGCAGGTACTCACCGCACCATACATTTTGCAATGATGGAGAGTTTTTGTGAAACGTAGCTTGACCAGTAATTAATTAGTTTTAAACGGACACTCCACTGCCCAAATAAAAATAAAAAGTATCAATGTCACTGTCTAGTAGATATAACCCTAATAAAATCATGTGTGCATTTAATTATGCATTTTCCATTGGGTGTATATCTAAAACCAGCTTGCAAAATCTGCAGATCTTTTGCCTGAAACCATTTCAACCCGTCTCCTTCTAACCACGCTTTCTGTGGCTGTCCAATCACAGGCTGCCCAATGCAGCTCAATGAGAAGTATTTGCAAGGCAGGAGCTCTGGGCAATTGCTGTCTCTTGAGTTTAGCTCCATTGAAACAACCCATGCCCATTCTCTGATTGATAGACGAGGGAAGGGGTGTAAACAAGGTTAATTTATAAACGTGCCAATTTCTATTGAAATCTGCGTTTTTTGTAAAGTGAAAAAAATATGACACACTCTTCACACATAATGCCTTTAAGCATGCTAAAGTGTTTTAAGAAAGATATGCAGATTGATTTTAAATACATTGATACCGTGTTTTCTGTACTGATGCAAGGCTATCTCTTTCAATCCAGTAATGCAACACGTGAACTGTCTTAATAGGGACACAAATGAAGAGATTAAGAAATAATAGGTTGGTGAAAATGTGTCTAAGCAGACTGACTCACACCTTAAAGGAATTCTGAACTATTCCTTATGAAGCTCTGACATTTACAATTCAGTATATGGGAGAAATATTTACTTGGTGTTTCTCAACCTGGGCTGCCTCGGACATTTCTATCACCGGAATGCTCAAACAGACTGACTGCTTATGTCATATGGTTGAGCAGTTTGGCTAAGCCAGTGTTTCTCACAGATAGATTTCTTCAATTTGATTTCCATTTTTCTCAATTTGCCTGTGCCTATCACATTAATGAGATCGTTCTTACACCCTGAACAAAAATAACTTGCTCTTAATCATAAGCAGCAAAGTAACCTTTACTATACAACGTGCTATTATTTAAAACCAGAAATATTTTCATAATTTTATAATGTGTTCCTTCCACTGCCTTTGATACTGTAGCCCCATGTAAAAAAAACACAGCTTAGTGGAAAGGGGCCTTGACAGGGCTAGGAGGCAGGCTTAGGCAGAAGGTATGTAGGGATTGGTGGGTTAGGAAGTTAGGGGCTGAGCTATTTAAATAGGCAGCCATCTTAGAAATTTCACTTTTAATTTTCCTACCTGGCTGAGTTTGTCCCTCCCTCTTTCCCTGGGGTTGGTTTGCTGGGTTGTCCAGTTCTGTCACAGGGGTGGGATAGTGAGATTAAGGCCAGACGAATAGGCTCTTCGTTATGCTGGTTTAGAAACGGTTAATATGGTTCTTGGTTAGTTTGGTAGGTTTCGAGCTTGTTGGTGGCTCAGAACCTGGTGATTGAGTGGGTATTTGGGTATACCCCTACCACGGTTATTTAAAACATTGACACTTTAATTTTCTATGTTCATGTTGGTAAATATTGTCATATGTTTATGTTTTTCCGATATGGGTCATTGCCTTATTTAACTTCGGGTGATACGGATGTGATATGGCAGGTTTGGGGGCAATGACTTTATTCAATGTTAATTTATTATGATTTTATATATATTAATAAAAAGCTGCGGACAAATATGCTCCATATACCTTGAGTGTCTGTGTCTTATTGGGTTAGGTATGTGGAAGTTTTTATTCCGCCCGCCCATATGGTGATCATGCACTTGTCAAGTTTATCATCCAGCCCTGATACAACTGTTTGGCTTACATTAAATAGAATTACATCTGGCACGGTAAATAACATTACATCTGACACTGTAAATAGCCTTACATCTGGCACTGTAAATAGCCTTACATCTGGCACTGTAAATAGCCTTACATCTGGCACTGTAAATAGCCTTACATCTGGCAGTGTAAATAGTCTTACATCTGGCACTGTAAATAGTCTTACATCTGGCACATCTGGCACTGTAAATAGCCTTACATCTGGCACTGTAAATAGTCTTACATCTGGCACATCTGGCACTGTAAATAGTCTTACATCTGGCACGGTAAATAACATTACATCTGTCACTGTAAATAGCCTTACATCTGGCACTGTAAATAGTCTTACATCTGGCACATCTGGCACTGTAAATAGCCTTACATCTGGCACTGTAAATAGTCTTACATCTGGCACATCTGGCACTGTAAATAGTCTTACATCTGGCACGGTAAATAACATTACATCTGTCACTGTAAATAGCCTTACATCTGGCACTGTAAATAGTCTTACATCTGGCA